GGAAAGAGAAAAGTTTGATTTAAGTTCATTGAGTCAAATTAGCAGGCATTCTGTTCAGACTGCTCAGTAGTAAGAATCTGGTCTTGTTTTAGGTAGATAGGGCAGACATTTGAGTCTTATTAAGTCATAGAGGGGAGGGTGGTGCTTTATAGCAAGTCATTTCCAAAACACCAAAGAGTCACGTAGGTTAAATCTCAGTATTATTTCTCCGTGAAACACAATTGTTTCTCAAGTTTGTCAAGCACTTGACACTGGACCAATAATGGGTGGTTCACATTGGATCCTCACAACTTTGTGAAATAGTATTAGTATTCCTATTTCAGAGACAAGGAAACCTGGGCTCAAGGATAAGAAAGTGACAGAGCTGGAATGAAAGTTCAGGGTTTCTGCTCATAACCTCAGTTGTCTTTTTGCTGCCACCTGCCTTCATGCCTTCAGCTGGTATGTACTGTTCATGGCTATTGGACTGCGAATGCCAGCATGATACCCAGGGACTGAGTTATGGAAGGTTCTAAACAAGGCTGATGCTCCTAATAATGCTGCTCATTATTAATGGCACTCATTTCATTCTCTGCAAAATACTCCAAAGTCATGGAGTGCCCCAGGAGAGCATATTCTGAACAGATAGGCTGGGAATAGAGGTGTGAGGGCAATGATGACAGGAAGCTTTTATTTTCAAGTAAGATGCCTTACAGTAGCTAGAGTCCTGCGTGGTACAGCAGCAACTTGCTTAAAATCCATTTCCATTTTTAAACAATGGAAAAACCAATCTCTCTCTACTCTCTCTGTTCCCACCTCCTTTGCCTTGACTATGAAAATCTGGGCTAATGCTGGCTAATAAAGAGGATCAATAACCATCCAGCTATTTTCACAGCAGCCCTCATATTAATGAGAACCTTCTCGGGATGAAGCTGCACGGAGGGTACTCCACCACAGTAAATTGCCATGGGGTTACTAATCAATAATGGAGTGTTCTAGGATGGTGATCAATTCAGGGCTTCGTTTGTCCCCACTTACAGCCACACTGCCCAGGGGAACAAACTGTCTCCTAAGAAGGTTAAAAATACATTAAATATGCACACATTCAGAGACAAAAATAAGCCCTACTTGGTGGAGATGGTTTAGAAAGTTTCCTAAGCTCGTTTCTTAGGCTGATACATGGAGACCTTCAGGTTACTTTGAGAGATTAATCTCCTTTTAAAAGAGCATGATTATAAATTTCCCCCTTCTAATATTCTCCAAGCTGAGGAACTTCTTTCTTGATTGAGCTTATATTATCTATGGCTACATCCTGCAACCATAATACTGTACAATGGTCCTATGGAAATCAAGTAGTGAGAAGGTAAAATAAGAAATTGGTTTCCATGGCCCCTGAGGCTATTTAATATAGTGTCTGCCTCCTTCATTACCCTCTCCACTTCACTCTTTGCAAGCTGGTTTCAATATGTCTTTTTAGTTTGTTGAATAGACCATTCTCTCTCTCTCTCTCTCTCTTTCTCTCTCTTTGGAGAGACCTTCTACCATAAAGTGCATGCACTTCCTAGAGACACGGAGAGAGAAGAAGCAAGAAATGACCCCCTATGGGGGATGGCCATGCTGCAATCCCCACTCCTCCATTCTCCCCTGGGGATTCTGGGCACACATGTGATTCTGCCTCAATGACTATGCCACCTGCTGGCCCCAATCATCCTCTCTTTTAAAAGAGGGCTTGTGCATGTATTGTCTATTAGCTTCTCACTACCCGTGTTTGCAGTGCTAATGCCCTATCCTTGCATTATCTTAAACATTGTTATCTCTAGAGAAAACCCTCAGAACCTTTATTTGGTTAGCTCCACCTTTTATGCCAAGGCAGCCTTTGAACTTCTATTTCACACTCTATACCTATAATTGTTTGTCTTCATCTCTCTTCTCTATCAAAATATAACTTCCGTGGTGGTAGGGACCATTAGTCTTATTTGCCACTCTACTTCTATGGTTTGAATATGTCCTCCAATAATTTATGCTAAAATTTCGTGAGCTATGGTAATGATGTTGAGTGGGTAGAGACTTAATATGATTATGGTGTTGAATAGTAGGGCCATTGGGAAGTGAATATGTGTCTGGGTGAAGCCCGCATTATGTAGTCCTGTGGTGGGTTTGTAAGGAGAGCGAATGAGATAGAGACTTGTTCCATTTTGCTCAACTCCTCCCTCTACCTTGTCATCTATCAGCAAGAAGACCCTCACCAGACGAGGACCCTGGACCATAGGCATCCAAACAATAAGCTAAATAAACCTCCATTTTTCATAAATTACCCAGACTTGGTAATATTGTTATTAGCAACAGAATGAACCAGAACACATATCCATAGAGTTTAGTTCAGTGCCCAGCAAAGAGCAAAAACTTAAAAGGAAAAAAGAACAGTTGACTAGCATATAAAAGAAGGAAAAACATGAATGAATACACACATGCATGGATAACTAAGTGAATAAAAACAACCGGAGCCTAGAAAATTATCCGCCTTTTTAGCCCATAATCCCTCCTACTTTTGTATTCATTTAGCCTTTCACGATGTTTCTTAGCACCAGCTTAGAGACCCAAGTCTTTTTAACAGTACATATGACATATGTGCAACCTGAGACTTCCCCTCCCTGCCACCTCATTAAGTGATGCAATTATATCCTATCCATGCTCACACAGAGGCTCTAAGATTTGTCTCCTTCCAGATTCCAGTGTTCCCAAGCAATAAATTCTACTGAGTTTTATGATTTTCCAATAGGAGAGCAAAAATACCAAAATCTGATATTGGTATTAATATAAATTATACCTTTTTAATTATTCATAGTGGCAAAAGGAAATAGAAACACAGGTAGTGCATTAACATTTAGCCTTAAAATGTAGAAAGAAGCAAGAAAACCACTAGACTTACCTGTATACGTACATGCACACACATAGATAATATTCACCTTCCTGCTTAAAGTTGGCCTTCTTTTTGGGAATAAGAAATTTTCAAAAGGAAAGGGCTCTCAGAAATTATTCCAACACTATTACTATTTTCACTACCATCCCTGGGAATTGACCCAAGGTTATACCAGATGTTTTGAGTCACAGGAAATCAAAGCTCTTGTCCAGTACCCTGCTGAGAGGGGAATACAAAATCCAGGTTTGACAACATCAGCAGAAGTCAAACCACTCAGCAATAAATCAAGCTGAACACCAGTTATCTTCCCAGCCAGGGATCAAGTTTCCCTGTAGTCCATCAAGATAGCCTTTCCAATCCTTGTTTTGTCTGGCAGTACCCGTACAAGTAGTGCATGCAGTACCTTCGGCAATGAGTACTTGGGCAGCTTAATCTGAGCAAAGGCTTCTCTTCGATAGGACACGTAGTAGCTGGCTCTTCCACCAGTTGTTACCTGGATCATGGGGAAACACAAAGAGATATCACATGGGGCAGCAATCAGGGGACAAGCTGGAAAGTATCAGCCTCTCGATCAATAAGTATGACAGTTTCATAACTATGTGTTAGAGAATGTCTTTACTGGCTTTGGGTCTGCAATTCTGGGGCATGCAGAGTTGATCCTATGTCATGGCATTTAGGTAATAAGTGGGCAATTGCAACAATCTTCCCTGTTGGTGGACATTCTCCACAAGAGTAGGCATTGATTCTCTGCCAGTATGTCCTGCATATAGTATGCACCTAGTAAATATTCTCAATGGAAAACAAAGAAACTATTGATGTGGGCTGCACTTAAGACCTATTTATTCTACCTTAAAAATGGAATAAACAGTGTATTGGGGTCAGGAGGGTTCGTGTTAGTAAAGGTGCTGGACCCTCACATGGTTGACTCTGGTTTGAGTCCTGGACCTGGTGGCTGGAAAATCATGCCAGGCACTTGTGTGTGTGAGCCCAAAAATCTCAAGAGAAGAATAGAGGAGAAGAGATTGCAGTAAGTCCATACCCCGGGGGTGATTTCTCATTTTCCCTATCTCTCTCTGTCTCATGTTGGCAAGTATACATGGCTTATGATTAAAAAAATAATAATAAATAACTTTTTAAAAAGTGTATTAATCTACTGCAATTACGACACAATTGTCAAGTCACGGTTTTCTGTATCTGAATTATTACTATTGCTCAAAGCTGTCATTACTTCGAAATTCAATTTCCCTTTTTATCTGAGTACAGATCTTTTTCCCTTCATATTCACAAATCTATGCATTAAGCAGATACTTATTGATTCTTCCCATGTACAAGTTACTTAACAGAATCAACAATCAGAGGAGGGAGAAGTCTTCATTCAAAATCAGAAATCCTGGGTTTTAATACCAGCTCTACTATCTAGTTCATGGGCTAGGAAAGGCAGGGACAAACCCCTGTAACCTCAAAGGATGCATTCTTCGAGGAAAATGGAGACCACTCTGAGGAATGGTCCGCTGGCCTGGGCTTGCTGAAAAGTGCTGCCGATATGGCACAACTCTGCAGATGGCTACTCTCAGTGCAATTATCCTAACTCAGGGGAAATTAATATTCACAGGAGAAGATAACATGGCCTGTTCAGAGGAAATAGCGGGACAACAATAGCAAGCAGGCTGCTGTGCTGAAGAGGCAATTACTCCAGGCACATGCTCTGTTCTCACCAAGGCTCAAACACATGCTGGAGACAGGCCAGTCCTCCCACTCCAGTCCAAACCTGGCGCCCATCCATAGCAACTGCTGGGAGCAGAAGAGGTGTAACATCTCTATTGAAAGCCACCCATCACTCCTGACTCTGAGACATGGCTTCTTCCACGGCTCCCCCTTGCCATGCACAGAATTGGAAGCTCACAAAGCAGGCACCACAAGCTTCCAGGTAGAGCAGATGTCAGAGTCAGCATGAAAGCAGAGCCTTGAAAAAAACTTGGTATAAAGGCTTGGGCTGTGTACCAGCCTAAGGAGAGACTGGCTTTCTCTGTGATGTTTGGCGCTATCACTAGGTCTCTATTTTCTATTAAGAATCACTCTTATCTTGTATGCCGGGACTTTTATTCTTTTTATTTTGATCAGACACCTATTCCATTCATTGTTTTGTGTTGGCTTAGAGGTGGGTGTTAAGATCAATGGACTGCTGAGAAGTCCATTTTTTTCTTTTTAAAACAATTCTCAAATGCATAGAATCAAAATATAATTCTAGGATTGGGACACCCAGTCCCCAATAGTCCTTGTGTGATCTTATTTATTTGTGTGTTTAATTTGGTTTAATATTTAATGATAAAACTAACACACGTAAATATACCTGCCAACCCAAGAGCAAAATCAATAGTTTTTGAACTTCTGCACGCATCGGAATCAACTGGAAAGCTTGTTAAAATTCAGACTGCTGGGCCCCTTCTACAGTCTCTGATTCAAAAGAACCTTGGTTGGGGTTTAAGAATTTTCTTTTCAAATAAGTTTCCAGGTGATGCTGATGCCACTAGTCTGGAAACCACAGTCTGCACAGATCTAGACTTAAACAACAACTGACATACACTTCTGTACTCCTTATCTGTTCTGACCCTGGTTTCCTTCCTGGATGTAGCTAATTTCCTGAATTCTGTATTTAAAATAATGGAAAAATTTTACTTTTGAGGTGAACTTCACGTAACATGACCTTAACTATCTTAAAGTATACAATTCAGTGGCATTTGTGTGTGTGTGTGTGTGTGTGTGTGTGTGTTTGCCTTAGGGTACATTCACTTGCCAAAGACAGAGAGAGTCAGAAACAGTGAGAGGAAAAGTGAGAAATCACCCCACAGGGTGATGACCACACCACAAAAACTTCTCCTCCATTCTCTGGGAATCTTGGGCATGCACGTAAACGTGCCTGGCATTGACTTTCAAGCCACTGGGTCCAGGACCTGAACTACAATCAGCCGTGTGGTAGTCCAGCAACATATCCACTATGTCATCTGCTGACCCACATTTAGCAGACAATATTGCCCAGCCATGACCACTATTTAGCTCTAAAGCATTTTTATCACCCCCAAGGAGGTTTTTAAACTCTCAAAATACATCCTCCGGTCACCTATACATATGTTTAAAAACTAACTCTCCATAAGACACTCTGAACCTCTCCAAAAGACACTCTGAACCTCTCCAAATATGCTTTTGGAGAAGTAGACTGGCACCAGAGAAGGCAAGTCCCGTATCTGAATGCTGGCCAGAGCTCATCAATTAAATGAAGCTTCCCCCTGAAAGTGTCAGCAGCCTCCACAGGAAATGAGATGATACCATCACCTGGAGTAATTCTATAGGGCATGTGCACTCCCTGGAGACAAAAGAGAGAGAGAAAGAGAAAACCTCACTGGAGGGATGGCCACACCACAATCCCCTCTCCTCCCTTCCTCCTCTTGAGATCTTGGGCACATGTGCACATGCACCTGGCATGTTTTTCAAGTTGCCAGGTCTAAGACTCAGACCGCCCAGTCAGCCATGAGAGATCTAGCTGTCTTAACCACCACTCATCCTGCTGGCCCAGCATCACCGGGAGTCTCAACAGCACCACAAGACAAGGCTGGGTCCATTGGGATTTCTGGATCCTCAGTAGCCAAAGGAAAATACAGTGATCCCTTTGAGAGGGTGATCAACCCGGTAGCCTTGGGAACAGCCCATCCGTGTCTATCATAGCTCTGTACGAGCACGGACTCTCACAAGCTCACACCTATAAGCTGGGAGAAACCTCAGAGCAGGTCCCATGACTTCATGGAAGGGTTTTAGATGCCACCAACTCATGATCATTTTTCCATCTCACAAACTCCATTTCTATAGCATTTTAAAAATTGACTCTTATAGAAGACATATTCTTTCATATCAAATTGTAAGTTTGTAACCTCCTTCATTCCTAGAAAATGCTGGTGCTATGTTTTAAATATTTGTGTTCCCTACAAAATTCTTCTTAAAACTTAATCTCCAGTACAACTGTATTAAGTACTGGGGCCTTTGAGGAGGTTTAAGCCATGAAGGGCTAGACCTTCACAAAGAGTTCAGTGCCTTAGGGCCAGTAGATGGTATAGTGGTTACATTGCTGGACTCCCACATGACAGACTGCAGTTTGAGTCACGGACCCAGAAGCTTGAAACGCACACTGGACATCTGTGCCTTCATGCCCAAGATCCCTGGAGGAGAATGAAGGAGAAAGGATTGAAGCATAGCTTTCACTCCTTGGTGGGGGGGCGGGGGGCTTCTCACTTTCCCACTTACCATCTCTGTGTCTCTCTTTTTCTCTTCCTGGTGAGTGTATCTCAAAAAAATAAGGGAGTTTGGTGCTTATAAAGGGAGTGGAGGAAACTAGCTAGGCCCTTTCAAATCTACTGCCCCTTTCAACATGTGAGGATACGTCATTCAAGAAGCTATCTTAAAAACAGAAGCAACTCTTGGGACCAGCAGATAGCATAATGGTTACATCGTTGGACTCCCACATAGTCGACCGTGATTTAAGTCTCAGACCTGGTGGCTTAAAACTTGCACTGGTTGCGTGTGCATGTGTCTAAAGTTGAGAGAGGAGAATGGAAGAGAAGGGATTGTGGTATAGCCATTCCCCTTGGGGGGTGATTTCTTGCTTTCTGTCTTTCTGTATCTCCCTGTCTTTCCAGGGAGTACACATACCCTATACCAAAAATTTCTCTTAAAAAAACAAAAACAAAAACAGAGGCAGCTCTCATCACACACAAAAAACTGGCTTGATCTTGAATTTCCAGTCTCCAGAAAGGGACAAATAAATTTGTATTGTATATAATTACCCAGTCTAAGGTATTCTGTTATAGCAGGAGAAGTGGATTAAAGCACTTAGTTGTCTGCCAGATGATTAGTGTATATGATGATAATAATAATAAAACTGTTATTAATAGAGCTCATCTTCCACATTCCAGAACTGTACATATCCCTTATATAAATAATCTTGTTTAATTCTCATGATGATCCTACAGAAGCTATAAGGTACTGAGTATCCCATTCAAGATAAGACTAAGCTGAACCTGAGAAAGCAGGTTCTAAACTGTAATCTTCCTTGTTACTAATTCAAAAGTGAGTCAATTTTTTAAAATTTGTAATTGTCACATGTATATATGGTTGTATTTCCTTGAAATACCAGGAAATCTGTTGCAACATTGATGCCGTATCTTTAAAATGATGTCTTCTTAGAAAAGACAAGGTAATAAAGCAAAACAAGAGTAACAATATTTGCCACTCAATGGGTATTTATTACATGGATTATGCTGTGACACACAGTTTATATGTTGTACCTCATATATATTTATTATCTACTTTTAGGTCAGGAAATTGAAGCTGAGAAAGATCAACTAACTTGTTCAAAACCACACAGCCTTTCATCATCACAGACAGACTACACTGGGTTATCTGACTCCAGGTTGAGCCTGAGCCTGGAACCAGGAATAAGCAAGT